CATGGCGGACTGAAAAAATCCCTTACGCTAAATTCAGGCCTCGAATTTAGCGGCGGCCAGCAGTGGCCTGCCCTCAACCCCAGACTACAGTACTTAGGCTTTAGAATACCAAGTGTATGATTTTATAGTTGACAATAAATTTAAAACTGTTGAATCATGTATTAAAATATCCATAGTTTTGCTTGGTATTTTTTTTAATATTGTTGCTGTTCTGTATATTTTTCTTGTCTCATGGAAACTCAAACGTTATTTGAAACTTCAAAATAGCAACTGAATAAAATTTTCAAACTGGCCTTGAATCTTGATGCCCTGAAAAAACTTAGTAACATTCAAGGGCAAACTGGCCTTGCCTTTATTTTTCTCAAATTCGAGGCCTGTAAATTAACCTGAAGCGAGACCTTTGTATGTATTTACTCTGTGGTTAAACTAAGATTTTCACGTCATTGCAGCAACGCGAATGTTTGTTGTGATGTTGGACTAGTTACATAAAAACTGTCTCAGACAGTGAATCGTGTTTCCCGAACTTAGCCGTGTGTAACGTTATTTTAAAAAGCTTCAAAATAATACAGAATTCAAGTTCCTTAGCTGAAGACGTGACGATCAATCGAATTTTTACTCCAGGGGCTGGTTGTTCAAAAGTCGATTAGCTTAACCCTAGGTTGACTTAAAATTCAAAGCAATCTTCCTGACAGCTTGTGTATAAATTTGGAAATGTTTCTTCAGAAATCTTGTCTAGATCGATAGGAGTTTTCTTCTCTGAAGTTTTGAAATAAACAGACGTGTAGAAATACACGAACTAAAACAGCAGGTTAAATTTTAACTCAGGGTTAGCACTAACCCACCTTTGAACAACCGACCCCAAGACAAATGCGTTTAAACTGCTACGTTATTTACATCATTTTCACAGCTCATAACTACGTCAACAGTTAAAAAGTTCGAAGTCGTGTGGGGGATTTTCATGTGAATTCACTGACCATTGCTACTTAAGGGTTGTTTGAAATGAAAGATAAGTACTTTCAAGAGGCAAATGAAGTCTAGTAATGTATACTTTGGCTTGAACACAAAAAAGTAATAATGGTTTCTGCCGTTGCCTTTGTCGGTCGGTTGCTCCCTAAAAGAACTCGTAAATCCTTTATTCTGCGATCTCTAAATCTACCATCGATATTTAAAGTGCGAGCAGCTTCCACCTTCTGCATTCGTAGCTTCAACCAGATCAATAATTTTCAGCCCGTCCAAGGCAGCTTGATTTTATCATGGCAAGTACGAAATCCTTCGTCTAAACTGTCCAAAAAGTCCACGTCTTCCTTCTCCAATACGAACTCAAAAGCAGTTATATTTTCCTCAATGCGGTGCTTATTACTGCTCTTCGGAATGCACACGTAACCTTTTTCCAAACACCATCTTATCAGAACCACAGCGGGACTTCGCTGGTATTTCTTGGCCAACATTCTCAAATTTGTTTCGTCCAGTTTTTGGCCGTTAGCAAGCGGGGAATACGCTTGGATCATGATGTTGTTTTCTTCGCAATATTTTACCAAAGGTATTTCCTGTAGAAACGGGTGCACTTCAATCTGGTTAACCGCTGGTATAACGTCAAAGGTTTTATGCAATTCTGTTAAATGATGGATGCCAAAATTTGAAACGCCGATTGATCTAAATGATTAATAAAGAGAATGCTACTGAATTTTATATTGTATCATTGCATCAATTCAAGTAGCGACTCTTTAAAGGCAGACGTTTGCTTAAAACTGTCGCATGCAACCTGCTTACAACTTAAGTTGTACTGTGTAAATCTACCACACAACTCGCTGTGTTGTTGCAAGTGAGTTGTGTACAACGTAGGCAAGTTGTATGCTTGATTTACACAGTACAACTCAAGTTGTAAGCAGGTTTTTTAGCCACACTTTTAGGCAAGTGTAAATCGGATTTAATAAATCTTGTTTTATACATACAGCACAACTTAAGTTGATGAATCAAAGTAGCCAAAAATAAGAGATTATTAATAAAGAACTAAGCAGTTCTATACAGTGCTATCTTATAGTTGTCCAAATAATGAATAATTATGGCCTATGCTGTTATGGTAACTAAGTAACCAAATTTAGATGCAAATTAAATATATTGGTGCATGCATCTCAATAATCAATAATTAGAAAAATTAGCATTATAATTGTTATAATATAATTAGAAACAATATCTATCATGTCAAGAGTTTAATTAAAAATCCGTTTTATACTTTACTAAAGGAAGTGTCTTTAAATATTATGCAAGTTTCTTTTAATCTTACCTCACAAGTTTCTTGTCTTTAAGCTCAATCATAGCTTCCCATGTGGGTAAAATTTTGCCGTTCATGGGTGAATGAATTAAATACAAATCAATGTAATTTAACCCCAAACGTTTTAAACTTTTGTGAAATGCTTCTAGTGTTTCATTATAACCATGGCTGTCATCATATAGCTTCGTTGCGACATAAATCTCCTCTCTTGGTATTTCTGAAGCGCTTAGAGCCTCACCAACGCTTTCTTCGTTCCCGTATCGTGCCGCGGTATCGATTTGCCGATAGCCGGAATTCAGAGCCCAAGTGACAGCGTTTATTGTGTCTAGGCCGTTAGGTATCTTCCACACACCTAGACCAAACGTTGGAATATAATTGCCGTCATTGAGTCGAATCCTTTTGTCGTTCTTGTATAAATTCTTCAAGTCACAGCTCGTTTCGCTACATTGATCATTTTCACACAAACATAAAGTCAAATTCAGAATTATACACAAAATTATTACGAGAATTTTCATGACTGTTCCTTAATAGAAATAGCCCTAACTACAGAAGCCTTAATCTTATTCACTTACTGTAAATATCGAGTACAAATTTGAAAAGTTCTTGAAAAAGTTACACAGTTGAGTTTGAGTCCGACTAGTCCACGGCCGCTAAGAATTATGCCAACATTTCGTTTAAACTTTGCACAAAACATATTGTCTTGTTGTACAAAACGTCCGAGTACATTTCATTTCAAAAGCTTCTACTAATACAGTTTTTATCAAACGGAAGAATTCAGGATGTGATATGGTATTGAATGCAATTTCAAATATTGTTCAACATACCACTCTTAGTTGACGGCCATTTTGTTTTCCCACACGATTCGAACGCGGATGTCACGCGAGACATACGCGCGCAGAAATTAACATAAATCAGTTCGTAAGAAACTTTTACTGGAAAGCAGCCTTATGGTGCAAGTCCACATTAAAACTGTTTAAAACTACAAGCCTTGCTCATAGGACCAAAGAAGAGAAGCTAAATCTCTTCTTTTTGTTCAACTTTCATGTAGCTCTAAATTTCGTGTCGTCGTGAGCGGTGAGCGTACGGTGGTTGGTAAATCACGTGGCAGATTCGTAAAATGCGACAAATACCGAGTTTTTCCGACGAGCATTTTCATGTGATGTGAATCACTCATGCACATTTTCGTTCACGGCTTTCGTCGAGGAAACGCAAACAAAAATATATTGATTGTTCGCCGAAAATTCACATCAGTAATTGAGCGCCTTAGACAAATATATCGAGGTAGGTAAAGCTTTGCTGTTTTTAATTTACCTTATATTCTGTTATTTGTTGTGATTTTGGAGCAGTTGTGCTCGCAATGACTATTTATCAGGCGTTTAATATTTATATATCGTGAAAGGCCACGCTATCAAAATACTCATTTTTTATACATACTCAAACTGAAACCGGGAGCCATTGTGCTCGCACTGTATATACTGTGTATAAAACTTCAAAACTACAGTATATTTTGTAAATAACATGAAATATATTAAAAATATAAAAAATTCTCATTAATAGTAGTTAATAATTATTTTCAATCTATTATAGTTTATACCTTCAAAAAGCTACAATAAAGCTAAACTGTAGGAAATAACATTATTTAGTTATAAAATAAACAGTCAATTACTTTCGATAGAAAGTTCACCTTGTTATTACCGTCGCTTGCAACTAACAACTAACGGTCGCTCATAAAAACATTGCCTATTCTCGTGAGAATCTTTAGTTTTCTTATTTTGACATAATGGTTATTTTTCAACAAATATATTGATATTAAACTTATTGAATCAATATTTTAAGTTTCAGGCCAGTTGTATTAAAAGTTATAAGCGCTAGCGCTCGCGTCATAAGGTTTAAAGGTTTTGATGGAATGCAACATGTACGCACTGCGTACCTATTTTTTATTTGGTATCAAACAGAACAGTCTAGACTTGTAGTAATCTCATACTGTCGCCGGAGAGTACATGCAGGGCGACGTGCCCTTTATGTATACAAAAACAACAAATTCTAATACACCCTTACGGAAAGTGCGTCAAATTGGGTAAGCCGGTTTTCCACTTCAAGCGTACCGTACCGTAGCCTGCGTGCAGCCTGACTTTAAAGGGGGAAAAGTCAGTCTGCGAATCAGGGAACAAAAGCGTGTTCGCGCCATCTTTTGAATTGCATGGATTTCTGTATTCAAACGTGATTGGCTATCGCTCAGAAGCTTAATACACGCGCTTCGATTGGCCAATTGTTAATACATTCAGTTCAAACACATTCCAGAATGAAAAAATGGTGCATACAATTTAATTATGTGAAGCTTTGATGCACATGTGGGTTCAGCAGAGTGCTAAGGCATTCAAATTCTGACAATACGTTATTTCAATAGTTTTTGTGGTTTTGGGACACTCTGTACTTAGCAAAATGGCGTCTTGAGAACACTCAATGAGAACCCTTTCATACATCTTTTGTATGGGCTTCGTGCATAAATTACACACAACTATGCTCTTCGCGCTTTTGCCCATGAAGAAACTGTTTAAGAAGTTGTTTAAAATTCCCAAGAGCAGTGTGCTTTACAAAGATATTTTAATTTCTTAATAAGTCAAATATTTAATATATGCACCCTGCCAATATTTTACGCATGTTTACGTTCAGCTTAGTGCTAGTGTATTCAAATTGTAACAATACGGGTACAGTGATACGGACACCCTGTATATCATTTTGTAGAACTGAATGTATTAACAATTGGCCAATCA